AAAAAAAAAAAAAAAAAAAAAGTTCCAATATGCATTGCACTTTAAAGAAGACTGGGCGTTGAGCTTGGACATTAATGGCCGTAGTGCACGCTATTCTGGCCCATTTAGCTCTATCAAATGTTGGCATACACGGATCCCACATCGACGCAAGACAGTTTGCCTATTGCGACTTGCAAGCCATCCATAACCTTTTGACCTTTTCTCAATGATGGTAGTAAATAGCATATTGTTGAAACATTTTCTAAGTAAACAACATATTTTAGGATAATAGAAGTAAATAGAACAACAAATTTTAGGATAATAGAAGTAAATATCATCTACTGATAAATAATTTATTTACTAAACGTTAGTAAATATGCTATTTAATTGAATTGTTTCAAGAACATGTTATTTATCTTTTTATCCTACTTCTTAGCAAGAGAAAACTTGACGAGCTCCACAATAATTGGGTATGATGTAATTTATGCCACTCTAATGAGAGAGTTCAGATTTTTGTTATTTACTTCACCATTAAAGGTAATCTACTAGATTATCACCCATATTCTACCAGATGTTGTTGAAATCAACGACGACCACCTTGTCATTGAGAAAAAATTACAACTCTTGAACAAATCATTATGGGGTTCTACTCTTTTATTGTGATAGGTTACCCCTTTGATAATAATCTGTCAAATTATATATAGTAATTTATCAAATTACACCCGCCGCTAATGACTGGAGACCTGCTGCCAACATAATTTGTCAAATTATAGATAATAAAATGTGAAATTACTTACTCCAAAGGGAAAAAATTCAATAGGCTAATATTGAGACTCAAAAATTTTTAATAATACTATTTTGAGGGATATTTGTCAAAATTACCATATCATTGATGACAAATCTTGAGAAGTATTCTTCAAGATTATCCTTAGTAATCTACTAAACATCTTAAAATTGACTAATCATTAGAAGTAATCTTCAAGATTATCCTTAGTAATCTACCAAACATCTTAAAATCAATTAAGGGGAAATGAGACAAATTCACCTTAAAAGTGCATGGATTAGGATTTCTACCCCCTACTCTTAATTAATAACTTTTTTAGTTAAATAACTATACTAGCAAAATGATATTAATAAAAAATAGAAGATAAAAATCTAAACTGGTATACTCTTAAAGGTAAATTTTATAATTTTCTTAATCAATAATGACCACCAGTTGTTGTTAGTAAACAATCTACTATATTATCATTGGTAATCTACTAGATATGAGTGCATATAAATAAGAAAAAAGAGGATCTAGCCCGACCCAATAGCCTTGGGATTCTTATTGGAAAAATGGAGAATTTATTCTTAAGGGTGTATAAGTCTAGATTTTTACTCTTTATTCTCGATAAATATCCTTTTATTAGTGTAATTAGTTGACTAAAAAAAGTTATGAACTAAAAGTAAAAGATAAAAATCTTGATCCATGTACTTTTAAGGGGTATTTATCAAGATTACTCATTCTTATTTCAGACAACTCATTACATCAATATGAAAAATTAATTTCTTTTAAAAAAAGGATATTGTAGTAACTAGAAATTTTTAAAACTAAATTAAGTAAACAATAAATTTTAAAACTATTTGAAGTAAATAGCAATTTATTGTGTAAATGTGTCATTTATAACTGGTAAAAAATAATTTACATAGTAAAAAATATTTATTTATGTGGAAAAAAATATTTTTAGCAGTCGTAAAAAGAAGATTTACATGAATTTTTATACTAGTTGTAAATGAAATATTTACTTGATAAATTGATATTTATTTTAAATAGTTTTAAAATTTACTATTCACTTTAAATTTAGCTTTTTTTCTCTCAAACTTCATAAACTTGTAAATTTTTCCTCTCTATTAAATTCTTACTTCTGTTTTTTCTGTTGGCTGCCATTGAAGAACTTTCCAGGTTCCTTAGGTCAAGTAAATTAAGAGAAAGTTAGTGTAGTAAAAAAAATGACAATTCCTATTCCGTAATTGCACTTCTGTGTTACTAAATGAGGAGGAACTAACAGAGTATATGTGTGGTAAAAATAGTTCAACGATACTCATTAATTGTGTAATACATGTTATTTCTACTAAAAATCTTAATGTAAGAATTTTTTTTATTAGATTTTGCATTTCACTTGACATATTCTACTAAAAATTTAGTTTCGAGGAAAAATTTATAAGAATTGTTGAGCTTTGAGAGAAAAAATGTTAAAAATTAAAGTTCGAATGACATTTTGTGATAGACATTATAATTGGAGAGAAAAACGTGTAATTTATTCTTAATTTAAAAATGTTCTATTTACTACGTTCTCTTAAAAAAAATACGCGCACACATGATTGGCACGTATGTTTACGCGGGATGAGCCGAATTTGGCATTGAGCCGACTTGTTAGGCTCGACCCATATTTACACTATGACCACCGACCATCATCAATGTTAGTCACAGGAGACGTTGAAATTGGTGGCGCAACGTTTGAGAAATCTATGTGGCATTCTTGCTTATGATCTTTTGGGCCTTCAGTTAAATGGGCTACTGACGGTCCACATAGAAGTCATGCGTTTAACTCCTCGCGAAGTAATGTAAATTATTGAAATCCTAATTTTAAAAATATGAATTATTACGAAAATATTTATTAGAAATTTATAATATATATATATATATATATTACTGGATGTACTCTTGTGTTTTAGTTTGAGGCATGATGTTTATATGGTTAATTTTTATTTTATGTAGTCCGTTTCGTTTCATTTTTTTAATACATGATAGTAAATAGTTTTGTAAGTAAATAAAAAAAATATGGTAATTCTCTAACCCTTAACTCGCTTCCGTACTTTGTGGCATGTGCCACAACTGTATCCCGCCTACCAAACATCGGTCAACTCAACGATGACGGACGAGGAGCTCCTGGGGAAGCTTGAGGACTCAACTCGGGACGCCACGCGTCACCAGGAGGAGACCCTGAAGTCAATACTCGAACGCCACGGCGGCGTACGTTACCTCCAGCGCCACCTCCGTGGCTACGATGCGCCGCTCGACGTAGCCACCTTCCGCCACGTCGTGCCGTTGTCCACCTACGAGGACTACTCCGACGACATCAACCGTTTGGCCGATGGCCAACTTGATCACGATAAAGATCAGCCTCTCCTGTCCGTTGATCCTCTCGTCTGTTTCTTCTACAGGTGGCTTTCTCACCCCTTGCTGTGCTTTTTATGTCTCTAACATGGTGCAATAAATTTGATTATGTTATATGTACGTATACATATATGTGTGTGTGTATATATGTATATATTGTATGTGTGTTATAAAGCTCTGGCACCAGCTCTATGAAGCCCAAGTTGATTCCTTATTTCGATTCTTCGCTCTCAAAAGCTGCCTCTTACATGGCTCATCTGGGGACTTCTGCAATTCTTAGAAGGTTAGTAACTTAACAATCAAATTCTGTGTGTTAAAAAGAAATTGCGGTGAATGCTCTCTCTCTCTCTCTCTCTCTCTCTCTCTCTCTCTCTAAGTCTATTTTAAGTAAATGTCTCCCAGTTTGTAAAATTAATTAATTAATTAATTAATTAAATTTTTTTTTTTTCAGAGCAAAAAAAGTTAAGAGATTTTTTTTTTAAAAAAAATTTGATTTTTGTAAATCTTTGATTGATATTTGATAAAAAAAATTGATTGATTAATCATTAGTTTACCAATATTCATACATAATATATCAAATTTTAATCATGTAAATTATTATTCCTAAAATTTTAAAAAGTAAAAATGGGACCTTTTCTTTTGAATTTAACAAAATTAGGAATTTACTGAAAATATGTTACAAAAATTTTACATTTTTGCCGTTTAAAATACCTTTTTTTGTTTTTGTTTTCCCCTGATATGTCTGTATGTTTGATGGGTGTGCTATGAAACTTATCATATCAGGTTGTTTCCTCCAAGAAATTCAGCACATAGTAAGATTATACTATTTATTTATGCTGATAATGTTACAACTACAAAAGGGGGTTTTAAGGTGATGGCTGCTTCCTCATACCCTTTGAGGAGTAATGCCAATTGGTCTAAGTTGGCCTCTACTTCTAGTCCCAAGGAAGTAAATCTTGGATCCAATGTTGAGCACCAATTGTATTGCCATCTTCTCTGTGGCCTTAGGAACTCCGAATTCATCGACGGGATTCTTGCCCCTTATGCCATAGGCCTAATCAAAGCATTTTCCCTTCTAGAATCCAAGTGGAATCAGCTATGCTGCGATCTCGAAAAGGGGGTCCCGAGTGAAGAAATTTCTGATGCTGCAATGAGAAGTTCTGTTACTGAGGTTCTTGGTGGTCCTCAAGTTGATCTCTCCATGAGAGTTCGATCGATTTGCGAGGGAAAGAGCTGGGACGGGATTGTGAGGAAGTTATGGCCTAATGTTCGGTATGTCAAGTGTGTCACCACTGGAAGCATGAGACAGTATCATCCAAAACTTAAGCAGTATATAGGAGAGACGCCTTTATTAGGTTCAAATTACTTTGCTTCAGAATGTTGTGTGGGCATTAACTTGGATGTTATGCAACCCCCGGAGACAACTCGATTTGTCATGCTCCCAACTGCAGCCTACTTTGAGTTTCTTCCATTTGATCCTGATCAGATTGATGCTGTTAGTGAACAAACAGTTGATTTCTCTGGTGTCGAAGTAGGGAAGATGTATGAAGTGGTTGTGACTACTTACAGAGGATTATATCGGTACTGTTTGGGAGATATAGTGAGAGTTGTTGGTTTCTATAATTCCTCTCCACAATTGGAGTTTGTAATGAGGGCGCCAAATTCCCTTTCTGATATAATAACCGAGAGGGATTTGATGTCGGCAATCGAAAGCTGTCAACTTGTGATGAGAAATGAGGTGGGAACAGAAATTTCTGAGTTTTCAAGTTTCTTGGACTTGGAATTAAACCCGAAGCGATTAAAAGTACTAATGGAAGTTAGAGAAGAAGATGTGTTTGTGGAGGAGAAGTTGCAGGAGTCGGTTTTAGTTCTGAGGAGGATTTGTTCTTTACTTGAGGACAACTTGGGAAGTCTCTACAGGGTTAAGAGAGATAAAGGTGAAGTTGGTTCTTTGTTGATGATAATTGTAAGGCCTGGTAGCTTTGATAAGCTTTCACAGGTAGCCATTGAGAATGGATCATCTGCTAATCAGTATAAACCGCCGAAGATATTACGAAGGCATGAATTTGTTACTTTTCTTGAAAGATCTTCTCTTGTTGCTATATGCTTGGATTGTATAGATAATTGAAGGTCCCCATCAGGGAGCAAGCCAAAATCTGCCGTCTGTGATCAAAGAAATCATGTAAATGCAAGGTAAAAACTCATGAAAAGCTATGTTATGTAGACACACTACTATATATTTTTGATACAAGAGTTGAAGAGATAATTGTTATCTCAAATTTATCATGATATGTGCTTTGTGTGTGTATATGTGTTTTTATTTGTGTTTTCATCTTTGTTGTTCTGTTCTTTGTGAAATCTATTCCCGGAGAAAATAATATCAAGAAAAATGAAAAAGCATATTGTACCACTCATCCATTCAAATTCCTTGAAAATGCATTACAGTATACTTTGTGCTTTTGAAGCCAGCTTCCACTAGTCAATATGTCGAATTGAGCAATCAACATTACAAAGAAAAATTTCCCACAAAGATAATGCTCTACACATTAATGGCTGCTTGGATTTGTTCCAGAGTCTTTCCTTTTGTTTCTGGTACCACCGTGATGATGAACAATATAGCCAGAGCGTTAATTGCTGCATAAAGAATGAAGGTACCTGAAACCACATACATAAACAAGTCAATTTTTAGCACTTAAAAATCTTGGCTTGGAATATGAAAATATCATTGTTCGGAAAAAAAAAAAGAAGAAAGAAGAAAGAAGTTAGCTACATGAAGAAATTCAGTGGTAAGGTATGAAAAATATCTTACCAGTAGGACATGATTATAAAACCATCATATCGCATCAAAATTGTATTACATTAAGAAAAAGATGATAATTTAATGGAACTTCAATAATATCTAACAGTTAAATATCCTACACAAAAATTTTAGAACTACATCTGTTTTGGTGGGAACAAAGAAAGAAAAGTTCTTGCTCTACTTACCATAGGAACTCCAGGCCATTAGAAAATTGAAACTGTAGGAATAGAACCATGCGCCAAACCAATTCATTAATGTTGCTAAGCTTCCAGCTTGTCCTTTGATATTTATAGAGAAAATCTGCAGATAAAAATATATATTCAAACAGCTGAATAATCAATATTCATCCAATGGAATGTGTAAATCTATCCAACATTGTTTACCTCAGACATCATAACCCAAGGAACTGCTCCCATTCCAACTGAATATGAGCCTATGTAAAGCTGGAGTTCAAAAAAGTAACTGTTAAAATCCCTGATATTCACTTTTCTCATTGGAGACACAAATATATGAACAAATTATATAACAATGAATTTGATAGATTACCAGTATGCCAATTACAGCTAGTATAGGGCTTGCTTGGAGTGCCAATTCATGAACCTGGAAAAAAAAAGCGATTTTCTCAGTATTTTAATATTGGATTTACCTTACTTATCCAAATAAAAATAAAATTGGATAAACGTTAAACAAGACTATTGGATCCAAAGTTGGACAAGATAAACGAAATAGCCAGTAGTATGCAGCCCAGTACCAAACCTGTTGCAGAAACCTTTGGTACATTGAACAGACTAGTTAAGCTTTTTAAAGTTGAAAATGGGATTTGAATGAGAAAGTTTTGGAGTAGAGGGATGCAGTGTTTTACCAATAACAGAGGTTTTCTTCCTACTTTATCGATCACGGCTGCGCTAAGGCCAGTAACCACAAGCTGCAAAACAAAATCAGATCAGGATGTTTCTAGTAGAAAGAAACCAAGTTATTCTCTAGGAAAGAGACAGTGAGGAATAGAAAAACCTGAAGGATTGCATATATTATAGTTCCAAGTTTGGAAGAGAATCCTGACATATCATCAATACAATAAGGTAAATGTTTCATACCGAACTCGGTTTGTACCGGAAACATCTGCTTCGGGTTGTGATTGGGTTGAACTTGTTGCAGATTTTTAATACAGTTTTGTCCAGTTACACTGGAAAAAGAATGCACTATTTTGTTTTATTGTTTTAGTGGGAAGGGCATGAAACCAATGATTTTGATTGCTTGTTAAGTAACGTTATTAAGGCTTTGTACCTGCTGACTCAAAAATGCTGCTGGTATAGAAACATATTGCATTGATCCCACCAAATTGTTGACAAACCATTAGCCCAAGTCCTATCTGATCATCAGTGAGACAAAAAGATTAAGAAAAGTTAACTGAAACTTAAAGGAGAGTTATAACTTCTATGGTTGGTTCATGTGAAATTATTACATTGAGAGAGCGCAAGTATCTCCTTTGAAACAAGTCCAACATGTTTGCCTTTGGAAGCTGCTCAAGCGTTGTTATGTAATCCTGCAAGCAACAAAAATTGCCTCTTTTCTACTTATAAATATCCACTTCGAACTTCAATCCATTTTCAATATGGACTAGGATGAACCCAAGGTTTTAGTAGCTGAAAACAAGAACCTGGATTTCAGCCGCTTCTTGAGATATGTCGATCGGTATCCTTGCCGCGTAGTTTCTGCAGTAGAAGCTTCAAACTCTTTCTGGCGTCCTGCCTTTGCCTGCATCGACAGTGAGGGTATATCGATATCCAATAAATAAATAAAAACAAAAAATAAAAAAATAGTTTCTTGATCTTTTTGCTAAACGTGGGATTTTCTTACCAGCCATCTGGGAGACTCAGGAATGAAGAAGAGACCGAAAAGCAAAACAGCGCATGGTACAAGCGCTGCAAATACTTCTCAAGTGAGTTCTATGCTCTCTCTGACCATTTGTCACTACAGTTAAATGCATAATTTAAAGGGTAGTTGGTACTTTTGCCTCCTAAGCTTTTCAGGATTTTGCAAGTTACCCTTAATTTATATTTTTTGATAAGTTATCCATTGAACTTAATAAAGTGTTACAGAATGCCCCTAAACAGATGATGGCTAATAAAAGTTGGACAGAAAAGCCTCCTTACACGTCAAACAAGCTTGTTTGAAGAATCCTTTCAAATACTCATATCTTTCCTTGGTTTTGGGGCATTTTGTAATATTTTATTTAAGTTTAGAAAGAAATTTGCTCAAATTCAGACTTCATAGGGACAACTTTACAATTCACTAAAAATTTAGGGGACGGACAAAAGGGCCAAAAACCCAATTAAAATTAGAAGTCTTACACACTAATGCCAATGCCCTCCATGTCAGTACATTCCCAATAATGAAGAAAACAGATATTCCAGCCGATATCATGAACTGTAAGATAGGAACACAATACCAGATACAGTCCAATTTCAAACCAAATCAATGTAAATCCACTTGAGACTTTTAAAACTCATTTTACCTGGTTTGAAGTAGTCAGTAATCCTCTTAAGATTCTTGGGTGCAATTTCAGCTATAAAAAAAGGAACCTTATCATCCACAAAACAAGCACCAAAGTTGTCAAAAATAGTAAAATACTTTCCAAAAGTAAAATGTTTTTACCAAATCAAAAGAGGACGCTGAAACTACTAGAAGAAGATACACACACACCACATAAGAAAAGGCTCCAATTCCATATCCTGTGGCCAGTCTTCCAATGTCCAAAGCCAAAGCTCCCTTTTATACCATTCAAGAATTGGTAAGCTAAACACTGTCACATTTATTGGATAAAAAATGCAACTTTTTTTTTTTTTTTTTTTTTTTTATATTGCAGACCTTGGCAAAGTAAATAGAAAGCTACCCCGCAACACAGAAAGCTACGTACACTCTCAAAGCCTGCCCCTACATTCCAAGGTAAAAGATATTGTCGTAGTAGATATCCACCACAAGAAAAAAGTATGGACATAAAAAGTTTCTGGAATCAAAGGATTAAACACGGAGTCCCCTTGCTTACCCCTTTTCGACCAACGAGATCCGTGATCAGACCGCTTCTGATTGCTCCAATCATTGCACCAAAAGTCACTATGGAGCCAACAGGGAGTACTGTGTACAGACACAGATGAAAATAGCAGAAAAATTCAGTTCGATAAAAAAAAAAAAAGAGAAGAAAAGTCCTTGACAAGAATAAGTTTTCCATCATTCTGAAGTTTTCCATCATTCTGAAGTTGCATATATATTATCTTAAAGTGAAGTAATTTTGATTAGTATCCCTTCAAGTCATAACTACATATAAATTCCAAGTTTTATTTGCACAGATCATAATTTGTGTTCAAAAGTTCATTTGAATCCTATAATTTTCATCTTTTTAGTGTCTCTACCTCAGCTAAAGATAAACTGAGATCCTCTCTTATAGCAGACTGAGTAGGTGATGAATAACCCGCCTGTCACCCAAACAAAGACCTCCCTCAGAACAAGGAAATCACAAATAAACATATAATAATGCTTGTTCCAATTATAATAGATCAGTAGACGAAGAACTTACACAGGCTCCAAATTCATAGGACCCACAAACTGCAACAAGCGTGCTTAAATAAACCATCCATGGATTGTTTTTGCTCTTTTCATGAGCTGATGCATCTTCAACATCCCTGAGTGGCTCTCTTACCTCATCCTCCTTCTCTTTGACTGTCATGTTTTCTTTATCTTAATACCACCCTTTAGTTTCGTATCTGGGAAAAATGACAAAAAAGACGAAGATTTAAAGAGAAGGGCTAAAAATCAAGAATAGAAAGAAGTAAAGGAACTTTCTTCCTTTTTTTTTTTATTTCTGATCATATAAACATACATGGAGAGTAAGCACAATCTCAGTCTGTTTTTTTCAACTCACAAGTCTGGTCTATATGCTTCCTATCCGAGTGACTTCTCAGTTTTAAACTCATGCAAAAATACGTATAACTAGTAAATTGTTTATTTTGTTTAGACTTTTTCTTGCTCCTGTTTGCTGGTACAGTCGTAAAAATTGACGATGCATATTCTTAAGAGCCTTTTTGGTGGAGCAGGCATTTTTGCATGCCCAATCATGTATTAGAGAGTCGCTAAATGGTCAAGAAACGAAGAGCTGCATCTATATTGCCTTAGAATGGAACCCACTAAATAATTTAAAATAAAATCTGTACACTTTTTTTTAATTAAAAAAAAATCAATAATCACCTCTTGTAGACCCATCACTTTTACTTTATTTTCTTTTGTTGCTGATTTTTTTAATTCGCCGCCCTCTAAATTCAACAATCTGGATTATTATAAACAGTTTAAACACAATTATTTTTTTATTTCTCTTTCTCTAATTTAAAGCTTAAAAATATTATATCTTCTTCGTTCAATTCTCATTGTGATTTTTTTCTACATCTTCATATATAACAAAGAGAGAAATAAATTCTCATCCATATTACATATTAAAATATGACATCTACAATGAAGTTTTATAAAATTTATTACAAAACTCTAATGATAATTTTAACTCTCTATCCAAACACAATTCAAATTTTAGTCACAATTTAACTTTTAATTAATTTTTCGTATCTAAACACTGATTCAAATCGCAGTAAAATAATTACAATTCAGATTTTATAGTTCAAACTAAAAAAAAGTTTAAATAACCACAATACGATGTAATGCCCAAACTTTTATGTAACTTCTAGCTTAGCAATTAAATTGGTTGATTGTTTAATTTATGTTCACCATTAATAACATCAATTAATGTGAATATTTATCATCTATTGACTCGTAAAATTATTCTTGAGATTGACCAGTTTAAAGCAAACATGATTGTAGGCATATTAATATTCTAGGATTTTGCCAGAGTACTTTTTTACATACAAGTATACGTGTATAGGTGGTTGTCATCTGTGTATCATTTCAAGTGTTGATTAAAAAAAAAAAAAGTGTTGATTAAAAAAAAAAGATCCGCCAAAGAAGCTTGTCGGTCACCTCTTGGACCACAGGTGTACTAGATCATATTAATTTGCTTCACTGAAAAAGCTGCTCTCTTTTATTGCTCTACTCTTTGACAATTACCGGTATAATCTTCTCTCAAAATCTTCAAGCTTGGTTATAAGCTAAGCATGTTTGATAGAGAGATTTAAATCACAGTTTAAACGGTTTTATTACAGTATTTTTTTCTTATAAAAATTTAAATTTTTAGTTTAAACTATTTGATTTATACCCATAACCAAACAACCTATAAGTAACCTACTGAGACGTGCATGAATAATTGAATGAGCAAAGTGTGCATCACTACATTTTAAGGATTTAAAGGTGAGTTGGTCTACTAATTATTTAAGTGAGTGAGTTCATAAGAATATAATTAAAGAAGAGGAGGATTTTGCAGATTGATGCCTATATAGGTATGCTATCAGTATGAGTTTTCGTGTATTTGGTGATATAGATTGGATAAACCGGATATATATATATATATATATTTATATATTATATTTATGAGTGGTAGGCTCACCCATAGTGTTGTACATACGTATTTGTTAGGTAAAATGGGAGAACACTCAGAAGCTACTGAGGCAATTTCATTACTGAGTTTATATACAATACACAAGAGTGGTAGGGTTTCAGATATATACACGTGGCAGAAGGACTATGGGAAACCTGTACAAAGAATATATTGTACATATAATAACTGAAGGAAATGACTTAATACCAAAGGAAAATAATACAGTACAACAAAGAGCATACTACTAGGGTGTGTGCTCTGTGATTGTTCTAACACATTATAATAATATTCTTTGTGGTTTTGAAGCCAGCTTCCACTAATCAATATGTCAAATTGAGCTTTCAAATTTACAATGAATAATTTCCCACCAAAAGAATGCTTTACACATTAATGGCTGCTTGGATTTCTTCCAGAGTTTTTCCCTTTGTTTCTGGTACCACCGTGATAATGAACAATATAGCCATAACGTATACTGCTGCATAAAAAATGAAGGTACCTGACACCACATATCTAAACAAGTCAAATTTTCACCACCTTAAAAGTCTTTATCTTAAAATATGAAAAGATCAAATTTCCAGCACCTACAAGTCTTAGCTTAAAATATGAAAAGATCATTTAGTTATAAACAATCATATCTATTAAATTATGAAAGATATGATCAATTAATGAAACTTTATTAATATCAAACATTTAAACCGATAAGGTTTTTGTTTTTATTTTTTGTTTTGTTTTTGTTTTTTATATATCCTACACAGAATTTTTTCAACTAATATCCTTTTTGGTGGGAAAAAGAAAGAAAATTTGTTGCTCTACTTACCATAGGAACTCCAGGCCATCAGAAAGTTGAAACTGTAGGAACACAACCATGCACCAAACCAATTCATTAATGTTGCTAAACTTCCAGCTTGTCCTTTGATGTTTATAGGGAAAATCTGCAGATGAAAATATATTCCTAAAGGTGAAATAATCAATAAAGAAATAATCAATATTCATCTTTTGATGGAATGAATAAATCTATACAAATTTGTTTACCTCAGACATTACAATCCAAGGAACTGCTCCCATTCCAGCCGAAAATGACCCTATGTAAAGCTAGAGTTCGAAAAAAAAATTTACTGTCAAAATCCCTGATATTTCACTTTTGCAATGGGAGACACAAATACATTATGTGACAATGAATTTGATAGATTACCATTATGCCAGTTACAGCTAGTATAGGGCTTGCTTGGAGTGCCAATTCATGAGCCTAATTCACCACAAAAAGAAAGGCGATTTTCTCAGCATTTTAATATTGGATTTACCTTACTCGTCCAAATAAAAATAAAATTGGATAAACCTTAAACAAAACTATTGGATCCAAAGATGGAAAACTACCTTCAGATAAAACGAAATAGCCAGTAGTATACAGCCTGGTACCAATCCGGTTGCGGAAACCTTTGGTGCATTGAACAGACTAGTTAAGCTTTTTAAACCTGAAAATGGGATTTAATGAGAAAGTTTTGGAGTAGAGGATATAGTGTTTTACCAGTAACAGAGGTTTTCTTCCTACTCTATCGACCACGGCTGCGCCAAGGCCAGTAACCATAACCTGCGAAAGAAAATCAGATAAGGATGTTTCTGCTACAAAAAAACTAAGTAAATCTCTAGGGAAAAAGATAGTAAGAAATAGAAAAACCTGAATGATTGCATATATTATAGTTCCAAGCGTAGGGGAGAATCCTGGGATATCATAAACACAAGAAGCTAAATGTTACGTACAGAACTCGGTTTGTACTGGAAATATCTGCTTGGGGTTGGGATTTGATTGAACATGGTGAAGATTTTAATATAGTTCTGTCCACTTAAACTGAAAAAAGAATGTGCTATTTGTTTTTGTTTTGTTCTGTTTTTTCATGTAAAGGATATAAAACCAATGATTTTGATTACTTGTTAAGCAGTTTTACTAAGGCCTATATACCTGCTGACTCAAAGATGCTGCTGGTATAGAAACATATTCCATTGATCCCACCAAATTGTTGACAAACCATTAGCCCAAGTCCTATCTGATCATTAGTAAAACAATTAAGAAAAGTTAACAAAAACTTAAAGAAGGATAATTATAACTTCTATCGTTGGTTCAAGTAAACATTATTACAATGATAGAGCGCAGGTATCTCTTTTGAAATAAGTCCAATAGTTTGGCCTTAGGAAGCTGTTCAAGTGTCGTTATGTAATCCTGCAAGAGACAAAAATGGTATCTCTCATTTTGTAAATAAATATCCTCTTCAAAACTTCAATCCATTTTCAAAATGGACTGGGATAGATGCAAAGTTCGGTAACCAAAGACAAGAACCTGGATTTCAGCCGCCTCGTGAGATATGTCGGCATCCTTGCCGCGTAGTTTCTGCAGTGAAGCTTCAAACTCTTTGTGGCGTCCCGCCTTTGCCCACATCCACAATGATGGTATAACCGTATGCAAAAGAATAAAACAAAAAATAAATAAATAAATAAAAGAGATTAATTCCATGTTCTTTTTGCCAAACTTGTGATTTTCTTACCAGCCATCTTGGAGACTCTGGAATGAAGGAGAGACCGAAAAGCAAAACGGCGCATGGAATAAGTGCTGCAAATACTTCTCTAGTGAGTATTAAAGGGTAGTACTCTCTCTGACTACTTGTCATAACAGTCAAATGCATAATTTAAAGGGCACTTGGGGTTTCTGCCTCTTAAACTTTTGGGACTTAGAAACTTGCATTTAACTTCTAATTTTTCATAAGTTATCCACTAAACTTAATAAACTATTCTAGAGTGCCCCTAAATCAATGATGACTAATAAAATTTGACCAGAAATGCCTCCTTACAAGTCACATGAGTTTGTACAAAGACAGAGACTAAAATTTGGGGGGACAACAGAGCACATCATGTCACGTGCATGATGCCGTCTCCTTTCAAATTTTAACATCACCGATTTGGCAACACTATGTAATATCAAATTAACTTTAGAGAGAAATTTGCTAAAATTAAGACTTCATAGGGATAACTTGTCAATGCACCAAAAATTTAGGAGACAAAAAGGCTAAAAACCATAATTTGAATTTGAAGCTTTACCGACTAATGCCAGTGCCCTCCATGTTAGTACATTCCCAATAATGAAGGAAACAGAAACGCCAGCACAGTTCATGAACTGCAACACAAGAACACAAATACTAGATTATTCAATTCTATACCAACCCCTCTTAGAAAAAAAGAAAAGTAATTCCACTTGAGACTTTAAAACTCTTTTTACCTCGGTTGAAGCAGTCAGTAAGCCTCTAAGATTCTTGGGTGCAATTTCAGCTATGAAAACAGGTACCTTATCATCCACAAAACAAGCACCAAAGTTGTAAAAATATATATATATTTTTTTTTTTTTTCCAAAAGTAAAATGTTTTACCAAATCAAAAGAGGACGTTGAAACTATTAGGAGAGACACGCACCACATAAGAAAAGGCTCCCATTCCATATCCTGTGGCCAGTCTTCCGATGTCCAAAGCCAAAGCTTCCTTTTATACCATTCAATAATAGGTAAGCCAAACAAGTTTTTTACATTTATTGGCTAAAAAATGTACTCTTTCTAAAGATTTTACGGACCTTGGCAAAGTAAATAGAAAGCCACCCTGTAACGCAGAAAGCAGTGTACACTCTCATGGCCTGCACATACAGTCCAAGGTACAAGATCATAATATCAGATGTCCACGACAAGAGAAAAATTAGGAATATAAAATTTCTGAAATCAAGGGATTAAACATGGAGTAGCCTTGCTTACCCCTTTTCGACCAATGAGATCGGCGATCGTACCGCTTGTGATTGCTCCAATCATTGCACCAAAAGTCAATATGGAGCCAAACAGAGAGTACTGTGTACAAACACAAATGGGAATATCAGAAAAATTCAGTTTCAAAACCAAAAAAAATAAAAAAATAAAAAAATCACAAGAATAAGTTTTCCATCATTCTCCAGTTGCATAATATTGTCTAAATTTAGAGCAAATTTGATCAGTATTCCTTCAAGACATAACTAAAAATCAGTACTCAACCAAGTTTTATTTCCACATATCATAATATGCATTCAAAAATTAGCTTAAATCCCAAAATGAAAATTCTTTTAGGCTTCACTGAAAGTGATTTGTGTCCTTACGTCAGCTAAAGATAAATTCAGATCCTCTCTTATAGCAGACTGAGTAGGTGATGAATAACCCGCCTGTCACGCAAACAAAGACCCTCCCTCAGAACAAGGAAATCACTAACAAACATATAATAATACTTGTTTTAATTATAGTACATGTAGAGACGTACTAAGTAAGAACTTACACAAGTTCCAAATTCATAGGAGCCACAAACTGCAACAAACGTGCTTAAATAAACCATCCATGGATTGTCTTTGCTGTATTCATGAGCAGATGATCCATCTTCAACAGCCATGAGTGGCTCTCTTACCTCCTCCTTCTCCTCCTCTTTGATGGCCATTTTCTTTATCTTGTCGTAGTACCACCCTTTTGGTTTCTTATCTGGAAAAATGAAAAGAAAGAAGAAGATTTAAAGAGGACTAAAAATCAAGAATAGAAGGAAGCAAGGAAACTTTCTTCCTTCTTTGGTTTCTGATCATATAAATACATGGACTTTTTCCAACATCACAAGTTTGGTCTATGATTCCTATTCATCAGAGTGACTTCTCAGTTTAGAACTCCTGCAAGTATACGTAATTAGTAAATTGTTTATTGACAAGGAAGCAGTGGCGGAAGGTGGTGTGGCTCGGGGGAATATGGCCCCTGAATTTTTGATATTTGATATTTAGGGTATGGTTTTTTAAAATTTTTTCATATATGGCCCGTTTTATCAATAAAAATTTTAAATATATCCACCCAAAATTAAATTTTAAATAAAACCTCCAAATTTGAGGTAGGTCAACAGGTTTTTTGTTGAACTAAAACAAATAAATTTTATACAAGAGTGAATGACCAAAATAACCCCAAATTATGTACCAAAAATCAATTACATTTCAATTTCTATCCAAAACTCTAACATACGGATAGAGATGCAAGAACGGGCCGGCCCGGCCCAGCCCGGCCTGTTCTTCTTAGGCCCACGTGGGCCGCGAGCCAGGCCTGCCTAGTTCATGAATTTTGTGGGCCGGGCCGGCCCGTATAAAAATGACCTCGGCCCAGCCTACACCACGGGTCAATTTTATGTGGGCCAAGCTAGGCCATGCCGCAGGCCAGGATGGGCCGTGCCATGGGCCGGCCCACTCAAGGCCCATCTTGACCCATCATGGGTTTAGATGGGCCAGCCTATCTAACCATACAATTTTTAATTTTTTAATTTTTAATTTTTGAATTTTTTAATAAGTTAACAAATATATAAGTTTGAATAGTTAATGGAAATATAGAAAGGGATATTTTATTTACGATTACCTTATTAAATAAAAATCTTTCTAAGTAAAATCCAATAGGACAAAACCTTAGTAAGGAAAAAGGAGTATAATAAGGATAATTATACATAATGTGTTTACAAAATTACTAAAAAAAAGAAAAAAAAAACATAAAAACATTATGGGCTTAGATGGGCTGGGTTGAGCCGGGCCATTATGGGCCTAGACGGACCGGGTTGGGCCGGCCCAGCCCGGCCTAGCCCATGATTTTTCATGGGCCGTGCCGGGCCGGCCCAGGGGCCGATATACGTTGGCCCAGCCTAGCCCACCAATATTTATGGGTTGGGCCGTGCCTTGAATAGTGACGGGCCGTGCGGGCCCGTCACTATGTCAGGATGGGCCTGGGCTAGCCCACGGGCTCTAGCCCATTGTTGTATCTTTACATACGGCCCGTCACTATGTCAGGATGGGCCTGGGCTAGCCTACGGGCTCTAGCCCATTGTTGCATCTTTACATGAGGAGGTTATTTGTGAGAGAAAACACTGTAGCGAACCATGAACCATGATTCAAATTATGGTTTGAATCCTCCAACCAAACATCCCATAAATCTTATAATTTTAAATGTACCTAACTGAATTTTTTCTCTAATTTATTCTTATGAAAACAATTTTTTTTCTTTTTTTAAATTGGTCTGTCCTAAAATATTTTTTGATATATTCTTAGCTATATCAAAAAGTGATCCATTAAAATAATTTTTTTTTTCAAATGCGTCTCTAATCAAGAATTCTTTTAAAAAAAAAAAAAAAAACTATCAATTATTATTTTGGATTTTTTAAGTCAATAGGCCCCAAATGTACACTCATTCAATTCGTAGACTCGTTATAAATGGAATTTCAATTTTCATTTTTTTTATTCCTGGGATAAGAGTGAATGACCAAAATATCCTTTAAATGGGGAGGGAAAAACGACGGGTCACCTTAAAGAAAGGCAAAATTATGCCCGATCAGATCTTTCTTACTGGAAAGACCGGTTGGCAATTTTCTTACAGGGCACACCAGTAAGAACTTTCTGACCGGACTCAGGTTTCTTACCGCTCCCACCAGTCAGAACGGAAAGAAATGACAGACGTGAGTTTCTTCGATTTTGCAGATTACTCAACTCCGAAGAGGCCATGAAATAGCATGATTCTTGTTGGTTTTTCAAATAAAATACCAAACCACGATTACCCAGCATTCAAACAATGAATTAAGCATAAAAAATACAAGATTTGAGAGAATACCAGAGGTAGGGGCATTCTCCGGCGGTGAAAGGCGGCGCCGCCGGTGAACTTTGGCCGGCAACGTTTCCTCGTGACTGCCCAGCGAAGGAGGGGATTTAGCTCCTCCTTTTCAAACGTTTTTTCTTTTAATTTGAGAGAAAATGAGAATGGCATTTAGGGAATACACATTTTTTCATTTAATGAGAGGCCTACTCATTGAAACTGCTTACTCATTAAACACATTACACATTTTAAGTCTATTTTTCAAAAGGACCCCATTTGAGATATCAGAATAGTTTCATTAAATGAGAGGGTCATTCATTAAAAATTCACTTTGGGTCCTAGTGACTTAAAGAATGCTCAGTTTAGGTCCATTTTTTAAAAGAGTCCACTGCAAGGAAGGAAAGCATATGATTTGGTTTATTGAAAAAAAGGCAGTAATATTTCAGGCAAAGCACGTGGCCTATCAAGTCTCAAAACTTTTTATGCAATAGGACAAGAAAAAGCTCATTCTCATTTTATTAAGCAAAATTATGGTTGTACTTATCGATAGATTAGATCCAATGACATGCGTGTTATTTCATGGTCCAGGTTTAGTGGGGAGTGGGACCTGGGATTTCTGGTTGCAATGCTTCGAACGATCTAACGCAGTCATTGTTAGTTTCCAAATCGAATTCGGATGTGAAAGTGTAGGATGGGCGAATCAAGTATAATAAAATTTTTTACAAAATTTTTGAGATACTCTATAAATTATATTAATTTATGCACGAATAAATTAATCATATTAATTTATTTATTAAAAACTCAATTAAGAAAAATATCTAGAGGCCGATTAAGATGATAACTTGAGTTCTTTTGGTCTCGAACAATCCTTGCTCCAAAGCCTTGTGTTTAGAAAACTAAAGTCTTCCATGTCAACTCCTTGAATCTACGTAGATGTATGTTTGGGCACACTTGAGACAAAACGGGTTGGAACAAACACTCAAATTTTCACAAACACCAACGGATGCATGATGTGAAATTTTTAGAGAAAAATTTTCCTTCTCACTCTACTATAGAATTTCGGCCACCTCGTAGAAAATTAGGTCAAAATTTTTTTCTCGCGCAATTTTTATCATCCTCTTATTTATAGAGTAGAAGTCAAACTTCTAGAAGGAATCCAATCTCTATCTCTTATTTGAATTTGAAACAAAAAATCTCCTCTTCCTTATCTCAATGTGGCCGGCCATGTGTAGGGATTCTCATCCCTGTGTGTGGCGGCAATTCCAGATAGGGAAGGAAGAGAAAATCATCCTTTATCCTGTAGTCTAATTTT